GTGTCTGGGCTGACGCTAAGCTAATAAATTACAACAGAGTAGTATTTAGCAACATGTTCCCAGTATGGTAGCATTGAGGGCGTGCTGCATTGTCGATGGTGCCATCTTTAGAATGACGTTCTCACTTTTACGTCCCTTTAGTCATTGATTCACATGACACAATTTACCTTCAGTATGCTTTGTAATTGTAAACATTGACAAATTCCCCTGCTCCAGACGCAAGGAACTCAATTTCCTTAAGCTGCTCCTGGTAACTAATGTTTCTCTTCCCTGAGAAGTTCGTGAAAGAGGCAACCAATATACACAGCATGACAGTGAGTAATGGCTTCATAATGCAGCCCTGGAGATTAGGTTGGAAAGAGGAACAGGGAGTTGAAGCCACATGTACTCTGTGTTGGTCATACTCACTTTGCAACTGACTGTCTGGGCAAACCTTCATTCTGGCCAAGAATATAATCAGCATTGTTTCAGCTAATAGATTGACCACCTTCTCAGACTTTCAACATTCAACCAAGCTGTTCACAAGGGGATTGCGTAAACCTTTGACTTCCCTTCTCTTGCGTGACAAAGTGCCAGAGGTAGCACAGCAGCAGGAAGGGGAAGGCAGCTAATGTGTCAGGTGGAACCCATTGTCAAACGGCCCAAGGCATATGGCTGTGCATATGGCTCTTCAGTCAACTGGAAATGGATACAAGTGACTGTGAACAAAGGAGGGACAGGGATTGGGAGGGTATATGGAGGTGAACTGGGGGATACATTTGGTCAGGCCATAATTTGGGCTTGAGCTGATTTTGAAAGGGTGGTGAGGTGGGTTTGGGGTGTTGAGTGGGATGGTTTGGATGGGGTCAATTTGGAAGAGGGGTGAGTTGTGTTGGGACAATGAGTTGAGTGAGGAGTTGAGTTGGATGAGTTATTTAATGAGTGTTGTGTGGGGAGAGATTATTTGGGTGGTAGGCAAGATGGGTGGATAGGTGAAGTGTGTGAGGGGGTGTGTTGAATGGGGGGAGTTAGATGAGGGAGTGTGTTGAGTGGGAGTGAGTTGTGTGAGCAACTGTGTTGAATGGGGGTGAGTTGGGTGAGAAAGTGTGTTGAATGGGGGTGAGTTGGATGAGGGAGTATGTTGAGTGGGGGTGAGTTGGA